TTATGCCTGCTGCTCTCAAGGTGTTTAATCACAAAATATGTGCTAAACTACTCTGCGGTGCCCCAATTTGGATCTCTGCTTTGAATAAAACGGTTGAAAGTGTTCAATCCAAATTTCTTAGAAAAATCCTAGGGCTCCCAACTTGCGTACTGTATGTGGCAATATGCCTTGAGACAAACCAGAGATGCTTAGTAACTAAAGCATGGCTCTTAACTTTTAAATGTTGGCTGTGCCTCTATAGAAGTGAGCCTAATAGTCTCATCGCTTATATGCTATGCGAATCTCACCTATCAGATTGGTTGACATGTGTTGAAGGGAAAATTACACTGATGGGGCTCAGCATGGATGATTTGATCCTTCTTTCGGAGAAGTACGCTTTTGGCATGATTAAACAGAGATTGATGGATATAAAAATGCAAGAACTTAGAAGTCTTGCTACTGGGCATTGTCTCCCATTCATTGGGGGATTTCTCTCTCTCTTTTTTTTATAAACATTTTATTAGGATATATCCAAATTACGTCAACATTTTTCTCACCTTCCTATCATTTCTACATCCTACCCTCCTCCCTTTCCCCCCCTACACGGCTTCCCACAGCGCTTAGATCTTCAGTTAACCTTATTAACTCCCCAATATAACTATTTTTACCTAACTTCACCAGGTAACTTTTTTTCCCCACTAAATACAAAAAAAAAATTCAGTAGTTATCAAAGCAAAATAAAGTATCCTTTACATCCCAATATTTTTCTAAATACACCTTTAAATCCTTCCAGTCTTCAAAAAATTCTTCTGCGTCTCTGTCATTTAATTTTCTAGTCATTTTGTCCATTTCAGCCATAAAAAGCAGCTTCTTGATCCAATCTCCCACTTCAGGTGTCTCTTGCTGTTTCCAACACTGGGCATAAGTCATTCTTGCTGTCGTAATCATATACCACATTAGAGTCCTTTTGGCCATATTGACCTCTTCCATTTTCCGTCTCTAGTTCCAGCTCCTGAAAATGGGACTGAACATTGGAGGATTTCTCTTAATGGGCCGCTGCCAGAGTATTTTTCCTGTCTGTCAATCCCTATATTAGAAGAGTATTCATGCTGGCCCATTTTAATGTGCTCACCTCAGCTCTGTTATATGGGAGATTTAAAAAAGATACCATTCCCAGATAGGTTATGTCCCTGTGGGCTAAAGGAGATTGAAGGAACGGACCATGTACTTCTGACTTGTAGATTTTACCGGGATTTGCACTTAGCACCTCGGTCCTATACTGCAAACCCTGGAGGGCAAATCTGAGGAAAGTAAGATAATGAACCTTCTAGCCTCAAACAGGGCTGATACCATTTGAAGAGGTGGCAAACTTCCTTTATAGGGCGTATAGGAGGAGAAGTTCTTTTTTGGCAGAAGGGGTAGTGAATTAACTGTTTTGCATGCCTCTGTACCTAAGGCTGCTGCTGTTGTCATGCCAATAAAGGTTTGTTGTGTGGTTGTGAGCTCAGTCTCACCAATGCTTATGGCCAGACTACATGGTGGTGTTATGGGGCCAGTGGCAGGCTCTGTATTTAACCTCCTTGTCAGGTTGGGGTCATGTGATGAGACCAGCTTCTTTCTGCTTTGTAGGACCCTTTGCCCAGGGAAAGTCCTAACCATGGCTTATAGAGCCATAATTGGCATCTGCTTACCCTAGTTTGTATATCTTCCTTTTCTCGCAGATTATCTCTCCAAAGTCGCCATGGCACGACGTGTGCGAAATAGCAGAGCCTGGCATTATGTCCTGAGTGGCGTCCGTCGAGATGCGGATTCGCGGGTGGTAGCATTGGCGTCCGGAGCGCATGGCTGGGCATATGATTCTGACGGGCAGGTAAGAACAACACTGTGTGCAGTGAAAGCTGCCCTTGTGGCTCTCTTCATCCTGTTGAGAAATGGACTGCTGGTGTGGTGTCCTTGTCCATGTGTGGTATTGCCTTATGTAGGTGAGCTAGGTTTTGTCTGGATCTCCTGGATCTAGCAAGATGCTTAGCTTACTTGATATCAGCTATTTTTCCAGGTGTTTTGCAAGTCAAACTTGCTTTCTTTCTGCCCAGGAGCCGAGTTCATCCTGCAATTGAGGCACACAAAAGAAATGGATACGCCTACTTGAAATAAAGTCTGGTGTCTTTTCCTTCTTCCCCTTCCCAGTTCAGTGTAGGTAGAGGTCATTTCCTGCAGGAGCGCACAGGAGCGGAGCTCCGGCAGTAAAGAGCCCAGGGGGCGGGCACATGCAACAAGCCCCACCCCCTGCTCCCAGCAGCCCTCAGTCAGAGCAAGAAGCAGCCAGGTAAGTTGCAGAGCCCCCCCCCCCCCGGTCCAAAACAGTCCAATGGCACCTTTAAGACCAAGTTTTATTCAGGTACAAGCTCTCCCTCCTCTGCGAGGACAGAACCCCATTGCTAGCAATCCAAAACAGTCCAGTGGAGCCTGAGCGGTGGGTGTTGCCTTCTGACACACTTCCGGTGATGTCAGGGAGTGTGGCATATGCAAAAAAGTTATGCTAATGGCTTATGCTAATGAGCTCCTGCACCTCTTTTTTCTACGAAATGATCCCTGAGTGTAGGTATTCAGTTGATTTTTGCATGTTGGTAAGGAGTAACCTGAAAGTGGGCTTCAAGGTGGCCTCTCCCTGATGGGACTCTCAAACAGCTGTGAACTGATCTTCTCAGCATTTGTTTTGAAAGGTCAATAGCTATACAGGGCCTTTGTAAGGATCGGTGCTCAGGGAGGGAGCCTCATGCCCCCCATGTGGTGTGAGTGAGCCAAATTGACGTGTGTGTATCATAGAATTGCAGAGTTGGAAGGGGCCATACAGACCATCTAGTCCAACCCCCTGTTCAATGCAGGATCCGCCTAGAGCATCCCTGACAAGGGTTTGTTCAGCCGCTGCTTAAAGGCTGCCAGTGAGGGGGAGCTCACCACCTCCCGAGGCAGCCGATTCCACCGCTGAGCTACTCTTACTTTAAGTTTTTTCCTTCATATCCAGCAGGTACCTTCTCGCCCTTAATGTAAACCCATTATTGCAAGTCTTCTCCTCTGCTGCCAACAGGAACAGCTCCCTGCCCTCCTCTAAGAGACAGCCCTTCAGATACTTCAAGAGAGAAATCGTGTCCCCCCTCAACCTTGTCTTCTGCAGACGAAACATTCCCAAGTCCCTCGGCCTTTCCTCCTGGGGCTTGGTCTCCAGGCCCCCCATCATCCTCGCTCTCCTCTGCACCTGCTCCATTCTGTCCACATCCTTTTTGACGTGAGGCCTCCAGAACGGCACACAATACTCCAGGTGTGGCCTGACCCATGCAGTGTACAGCGGGGCTATGACATCTTGTGATTTGGATGTTATGCCTCTGTTGATGCACCCTAAGATTGCGTCAGCCTTTTTTGTGGCCACATCACACTGGCCGCTCATATTTAACTTTCGGTCCACCCTTACCCCAAGATCTTGTTCACACAAGTGTATCATATACTACACTTGCTCTCATGGTCTCCTGTTGGCCAGAAAGGGGGGAAAAGACTGGTCTCTTGCTTCCTCTCTGCCCATTTCCTTCCAGAGGAGGTAGGGTGAGGTTTGATTTTGATTGGTAAAACACTGGCCATGGGGTCTCAAAACCGGTAGGGGCCTTGCAGGACATAAGAACATAAGAGACGCCAATGTTGGATCAGGCCAAAGGCCCATCCAGTCCAACACTCTGTGTCACACAGTGGCCAGAAATACCCTAATAGGCTAATGAGCTGTATTGTTGTGGGTGTGGCCTAATATGCTAATGAGTTTCTGCTGTTGGGTGTGGTCTATTATGCTCATGAGTTCCTGCTGGGCTTTTTCTACCAAAAAAGCCCTGGGTAAAACACTGACCATGGAGTCTCAAAGCCGGTAGGGGCCTTGCAGGACAATGTCGTCCAGTGCCTCCCTGTTGTAGGAAATCCAAAACGAGAGCTTTGCAGACAGATGGCACGCAGCCTCTTCATTGCCACTTCTGGCAAGAGAGAGAGCTTCTCGTATTCTGGGCATTTCTTCCCTTGGTGCCCTGCTGTTACCACTGGGAAGCGTCTCCGGATGTTCAGCAGAATTCTGCCCTTGTGTAACTTCAGATGTTTGGATGTCGCCTTGGCCTCCGAAACATGAGAGCCTTTCAGGTGGCAGACTGTGATCGTCTCTCCCCTCGGTCATCTTTTCTGTGTGGGGATGGAAAGCCTCTTCTCCCTCTTGTGACCCAGATCCAAACTGGAGGCCTTTGCTGCTGCTCTGGAAAGGCCGGGACAAAGCTTTGCGTCTGGTTCATCTATTGTTAGGTGGGGCTGCACCTGGAAGTTGGAACCCTTTCCGAAGAGCACTGCCCGCCCGCCGAGAAATGTTCTTATTGTCCTGTTCTCTTCCCCGGCAGCACAGCGACTCTGATTCGGAGCCGGAATTCCCTTCCTTGTGACCCAGATCCAAACTGGAGCCCTGTGCTGCTGCTCTGGAAAGGCCGGGACAAAGCTTTGCGTCTGGTTCATCTATTGTTAGGTGGGGCTGCACCTGGAAGTTGGAACCCTTTCCGAAGAGCACTGCCCGCCCGCCGAGAAATGTTCTTATTGTCCTGTTCTCTTCCCCGGCAGCACAGCGACTCTGATTCGGAGCCGGAATTCCCTTCCCTTTCGCCGTCCATCCCGACCGCGATCCCTGTGACCGGAGAGTCCTACTGCAACTGTGAGAACCAGAATGAAGCTCCATACTGCTCGAACCTCCACGCTATCCACCGGATAAAAGACTGTCAGTGTGGCGAAGAAGATGAATGTGAGGAGGCTTCAAAATTTCTGGTCTTGAATTTTTTTTCTTGAGATGAGCCTCTCCTGTTTGTAAGGGAAGAGTGTGTGTGTGTGTGGGGGGTGTCTGCTTGACTCAGGCCAGAGTCAGATACCGATGTGCAGTGAACAAGCCTTAGGAGTCTAGTTGGCTCTTCTGTGTCAGACCATTAATCTCCTGGCAGGAGGTGGACCTTGAGGTGTTGTAGCTAGTGCCCTTGGGCTATTCACATCTTTAATATTAACAAAACATGAACAGATACGATAGTAGCATCAGTTGATTATACACAGCAGGTCTGAAGTCAAGGAGCCCCTTCTAGGAGGAAGAATTTGAAAACCTCTGAATATGGAAGTCTGAATAGACTAACTGAATAGACTAACAAAAGGGAATTAGATAAGCATATGGAGCAGAGGTCCATCGGTGGCTATTAGCCACAAGGTATAGATAGGGGCTCTGGGGCAGGTGATACTCGGTCTTCTTGGTGCTTGGGGGGGGGACAGTGGAAGGGCTGCTAATGTCCTGGCCCCACTGGTGGACCTCCTGATGGCACTGGTATTTCTGGCCACTGTGTGACACAGAGTGTTGGACTGGATGGGCCTTTGGCCTGATCCAACATTGGCGTCTCTTATGTTCTATGCTGAAGTGCAAAGGAACAAAGAATATTTATATAACACAAATGTGTACAAACAGATACAATATAGTGTATGCATATACAACAGCACAGAGTGTACAAAAGAAGCCTGCACACAGGACATAGGACCAGGGGTCGTTTCGTAGAAAAAGAGCTAGGGGAACTCATTAGCATAACTCATTATTATATGCCACACCCCCTGACATCACCGGAAGTGTGTCATAAGGCCACACACCCCGCCCCCAATGGTCCCGGCCGCCACCGCCGGCCTTGCAGCTCCACTGCTGAGTTGACCTTGTGTTGAATGCTTTGTAAGGAGAGGAATTGAAGGTGATGGTCCCAGAAATGTTCTCTTGAAGACCTGGAGTCAAAGCCAGCTTTTGCTGGCAGTGAATTCAGGCTGTGCAGTTCCAGTCTAGTCAGTCCCCAATTGATTGTGGTTCAGGCTGCATGATGGTGGATGACTGTGAACTCTCTGGGGGGAGGGCAGGTAAAACAAGATGGGGAAGTCTGGTAGTAGCAGTGAGCTTAGAGCACAGCTCTCTGTTCTAGAAGAAATGTCATTCCTTCACGTGGCAGAAAACTGAGCATTTTTTAAACTCTAAGTTTGTCTGCTCCCCCACCCTGCCCTGGAAGAGTTAGAATCCGGAAAGTTGTGTGTCATTGTTGGTTTGGGGAATGGGAATGTGCTGAGGTGGGGGTCACTGGCTCATGGTGAAAAGGATTGCGCGTTCCCACCTCCTTGCCGTTTAAAGAGAACAAAGGCCACGGGAAGAGAGCTGTAAAACTCGAATCCTCGCGCGCCTGTGTGCCGGATGCTGTGGGATGTCTAACTAAAGACTTCAATTCCCAGGGACCACTGCTCTTAAAGATATATGGCAGTTCTACTTAACTGCAGTTTAAAACGCTGGCTGGGGCAGCACAGGGGGGATGGCCAGAAGATAACTATGTGTGTCCCATTCTTTCAAGGAATTCATAGTAGCCATCATGAGGTATCCAGTTTACCGTTGTAACTATCGAGTATGTCTCCATACAGAAATAGTTCCCTGAATGTAGAAAAGTAGCTTGCATGGGTAACGGTTAGTGACGTGCTATATTTCTGCCGGGGGTGTGTGTGTTTATGTTTGTGTAGTCACTGCATCTTGAACACAGGTTTGTGGCAGAGTGTCAAGGAGGGCTGCTGTAGAGGTGCGACTTCAGTGGACTGATTTTCACCACTCCCTTCTTTTTTGTGTTTGGATGATGTGCACTTTCCCCTTCTAGATTTTGACTGGGTGTGGGACGACATGACTAAATCGACTGCCACACTGTTGTCCTGTGACAACCGCAAGGTGAACTTCCACATGGACTATAGCTGCGGTACCGCTGCCATCCGTGGGGACAAGGAGCTAGCAGAAGGGCAACATTTCTGGGAAATAAAGATGACGTCGCCAGTCTATGGCACGGACATGGTAGGTCAGAGTGGTCGGGAGGCGGTTTGCTGTGATTCGTGGGTGAGCCTGATGCTTCCTGTCATTCACAGCCGGGGTCGTGGGCAACGCTCCCTCTAAGCTGTGGAGTCCTGTGAGCAAAAATTCTGCTTTGTGAGCTGCTGGCATTAAAGTTCTGAGCAAGCGATTTGGCTCCTGCATAAATCAGTTTGCCCTGGAGCCAGCCTTCCTGAGCTAAGACAAAAATGTGTGAGCCAAAGGCTAAAAAACTGTGAGCTAGCTCACACTCTCACTCAGCTTAGAGGAAACACTGGTCGTGGGTCAAGCGTAGGGACTGGTTCCCGCTTAACGGTGACTCTGCTTGCGAGTATCACAGCCATCACGGGGGGGGGGTGTCTGTGCCAGGGTGCCTGTGGCCAAGAGAGGTGATATTATAAAGCCATCCTCCCACTCAGTAATGGCTGTGTGTGTGTGATGCCTGGCTGTGAGGAGAGTGCCCTCTGTGTATTCTCAGAGGCTCTGGTGAAGGCTGTCAGGTTAGTAGGCGAGAGTAAGAGACTGCTGGTTGAGGCTCTACAAGTGCTCAGAGCTGACTTTGGCAGGCCTCCAGACTTCAGCTCTGGGTGATTCTTGCGGCTGCTTCCAAGTGAGAGCTTTCTGGATCTGTCAAACGAGCTCTTCAAAGAATTCTCTGTTTTGAAACTTAGTAGTGATTTTCTTAGTAAAAATGGACGTGGGCCTACACAAGTCCTTGGGTGGCCCAGTGGGATGACCCAGTACTGTGCCTGTTACCTTTGGTCAGATCCCTACCTCAGCGGTAGATGTCCGCTTGCTGAGGCTGCGTCATTCGAAGCATGGACAAGCAGTGTGAGGGATCCAGACTGGGAGGGCAGGTCCCTTGTAAGCAATGTTCCCTCTAAGCTGTGGAATCTTGTGAGCAAAAATTCTACTCTGTGAGCTACTGGCATGAAATTTGTGAGTGAGCAATTTGGCTACTGCATAAATTAGTTGGCTCCGGAGTCATCCTTCCTGAGCGAAGACAAAAATCTGTGAGCAGGAGGCTGAAAAGCTGTGAGCTAGCTCACACTAACTCAGCTTAGAGGGAACACTGCTTGTAAGTGAGCATGTGTTCAAGGAACCCAGTGCCAGGTGATCTCCAGATTTTTCCTCGCACCAGCGTGGTGTTTGAAGCCCTGTGAAAGATTATCCCCATTAAGAAGAGAAGAAGAAGAAGAAGAAGAGATTGGATTTATACCCCGCCCTTCACTTGGAGTCTCAGAGCGGCTTACAAGCTCCTTTCCCTTCCCCTCCCCACAACAGACACCCTGTGAGGTGGGTGGGGCTAAGAGAGCTCTGACACAAACGGCTCTTTTTCAAGGACAGCTGTGCCAGAGCTTGTGACTGACCCAAGGTCACATCAGCAGGTTGCAAGTGGAGGAGTGGGGAATCAAACCCGGTTCTCCCAGATTAGAGTCCGCGCACTTAACCGCTACACCAAACTGGCTCTTAACTGCATAACTGCATTAACTGCAGCATAACACCGAACTCGCCTCAGCGTGTGAGTGAAAATGTCTGAAGCTGGAGTTTGGCCCAAGCCATCGTTGCAATAGCTGTTCTGGGCTTTGAGAGTTTCCTTCCACCTTGAAGCCTGATTGGGGGCTCTTGTCTTCTTCAGATGGTGGGCATTGGGACCTCAGAGGTGAATCTGGACAAGTACCGGCACACGTTTTGTAGCTTGTTGGGTAAAGATGAAGACAGCTGGGGGCTCTCCTATACAGGTAAGTGAGGGAGAATAATCCCCGTGGTGGCCGGGAGCTGAAAGGGCCTCTGTGCCTTTAGAGTTACAGAGGGGGGCTTACTTGGGCAGGCCACCACAGATCCTGCACATGTCGAGGACATGGCTCCATGGTGAGAGATAGGAAATCTGTCTAAGTGTCCTTTCTATTTTATTAGGGTTTAGGTGAAAGACCTTTAACCTGTGAATCGTCCATTTCTCCCTTTCCTGAAGCAAATTGCAAAAGCTTGCTATTTTTTGCACACTCCTGTTCTCACAGGAGTCCAAACTGGACGTGCCGTCTGAGAAGCCAGGTCTGCTGGGGGAGGGAAAGCGAAACCACACGATCTGAGACTTCTGCAGAAGCGTCACAATCTGATCATCGGTTACTTTGCCTGGGGGAAAGCCCACTTAGGGGAAAGAACCTAGATAGGGGGATGTAAGGCCCAGCAATGGGTGACCACCATCAAATAGGCGAGGATAAGAGAAATTGCGTTATCTTCTATCACGGGGGGGGGGGGGTCCCTTTCCTGGGCTGAGCCCCCCCCCCCCTCTTTGTAGATTTTAAAAAGGGAGAAATAGGGCACGGGAGTATGGATGTCAGCCAATGTTCCCTCTAAGCTGTGGAGTCTTGTGAGCAAAAATTCTACTTTGTGAGCTACAGACATTAAAGTTTTGAGTGAGCTATTTGGCTACTGCATAAATTAGTTTGTTCTGGAGCCCTCCTCCCTGAGCCGAGACAAAAATCTGTGAGCCAGAGGCTAAAAAAACCTGTGAGCTAGCTCACACTAACTCAGCTTAGAGGGAACACTGAATTGTCAGCGGCATTCTCAGGGAGGAATAGTGCTGCATAAAATAAAAGACAGGAGATTAGATCACCCCATGACTACTGCATAGAGCAGGGCCACACCTGCAAGACCCAGGGAGAAGGGGTACAAAGGGGAGGAATCTCCTTTGCTAGATTTCTTCCGATGGGTCAGTTTGACTCCCAAACTGGCAAAGCCCCAGGGCAGGCAAGCATATATTGTAGGGAACTGATTTGCGATGCATTGTATTCAGTAAAAGCTGCAGTGACTGTTTGGGTGGTCTTTGGTCTGCAGCTGAGTGCCAGCGGGTGGGTTGGGGGTCTGCCACGTTTTGATCAGTGGGCGACTTTTTTCCTTGCAGGGCTCCTCCACCACAAGGGTGACAGAGTCAACTTCTCGACACGGTTTGGCCAAGGCTCCATCATTGGGGTGCACCTGGATACCTGGCATGGAACTTTGACTTTCTTCAAAAACAGGAAATGCATTGGTAAGCCGTAGAGGCCTGGGCTCGCTCTTGGGTCGCTGGATGGGTGTCCTGCCTGTGACTGAAGCTGGTCTCCGTGCTTCTTTGAGGCATGCAGTTCAGGGGGGCGGGGCGCCGTGTCTCAGGAGTGCATCCTGCCAGGTGGTGCTTCGGCATGTTTTAGATGACACTCATAAAGATTCGTGCCTAATGGCAGCTCTGCATAGGTACATGCGATTCAGCTTGCTATGCTGGGGTTTACGCACAACATTCCTTACCCTTTGGGAAAGGAATGTACTTGCCAGTGAGGGGGTCCTTGACCATTCAGCATCATGCTCAGATTTGTATGCCAGTATGGCTATTTAATTTTGGGGTCCCATCGATTACGTTAACTGCGCGTGCTGCTTCTCCATCTATCCAACTTCTGTTTGTTGACGACCAACCTAGGTTAGATCAGTTTTATGAAGGAGCATGTATATGTAGATACTTCTGTTGAGGGTGGGGGTTAGAAGGTGGGTGGTGTACCCCACAAATGTTTCAACTGTGACTGTTTGGTTATAGTCACCTTTCTGTATACTGAAGAGGCCCTTCTTGGACAGTGCCCAGATACATCGAGCACACTTGCATCCCCTGCTTTAGAGCCTGGGTAAAGAAAGCAACTAATGTTGAAAAATCTTAAGGCCACTGTGACGACCCCTTATCTGGGGAGGTCTGGTTTCCCTTTAAAGTGTTCTTTATGTTTTGGTTTACTGTGTATATCCGGCTGCCACCAGGAAATTTTTAGGCTTTCCAAACCTTTATACTTTCTTTTGGCTATCACTGGGTAGGTAGGTCGAGGTTTTAGGCTTTCGAGGTACTAATGTGGTGCCTGAGGAAGTATATCTTTCAGAGCTGTTAGACTTAAATAAAAGAAGATTTCTCGAAACAGTTCATAAATAAAAGTGTAGAACAATGTAACCAGTAATGTGAATAATTTTAACAGTTTCGTTGTGTCTCACACAAGATATGCTCCCTTTCTGACAGGGATTTTTCAAGTAACTTTGTAACTCATTACTCAGGGTCATATACGGTTCCTATTTCACTCCAGTCTGTCACTCAGACTTTCATTTAACTTTTGTTTCTTGTTTCTTTATACATTCAACTTTCCTTCATACACAGAACTTTTAACTCTTGTATCACACACAATACTGTCTCTCTCTCAGACTTCCGAACGAACTAACTTAACAACTGTCTTTATCAACTGTCAAACCTCTAACTGTCACTCCTGAAGGACATACCCATTCATCCACTCAGAAACCCTTTCTAAAACCCCTCCCCCCTCTGTCAATCACCAATCACACCACACTTGTCTCTTCAAGCACTCTAGTCCATCACACAGCCATGCAACCAAACTTTTAAAGAGACACACACACATATAAAACAAGGAATCATTACAGCCACCATCTTCAAGTACTTGAAGGGTTGTCATATAGAGGATGGTGTGGAACTGTTTTCTGTTGCCCCAGAAGGTCGGACCAGAACCAATGGGTTGAAATTAAATCAAAAGAGCTTTCGGCTAAACATTAGGAAGAACATCCTGATAGAGTGGTTCCTTAGTGGAACAGGCTTCCTCGTGAGGTGGTGGGCTCCCCTTCTTTGGAGGTTTTCAAACAGAAGCCATTCTGTGAACTTAGGCAGATTGTGAGAGGGAGGGCAGGAAGGGTTTCCTCAGTGCTTAGTTCTCGTGGCCCTCTCTTGCACGCCCAGGGAAATGCTGATCGCCACTTTGGGGTCAGGAAGCAGTTTTTCTCCAGGCCAATTTGGCCAGGGATCCTGGAGGGTTTTTTTGTCATCTTCTGGGTGTGACACAGCGGTCACTTGGGGTGTGGAGGGGGAGGTGTTTGTGAATGTCCTGCCTTGTGCAGGGGATTGGACTCAATGATCCTGGAGGTCCCTCTTCCAACTCTATGATTCTATGATCTTTAAACATGATTGGATCAGAACATTCTCCTCATGAAGTGTGACAGTTTTGTACTCTTATCTTAGCTAATCTGGACTTCCTATCATCAACAGCTGCTCTTTATGTATTGGTAGCTGAAGGGGGGGGCAACTCAGCCAATGTGCTCAGCTGCAGAGAACCTTGTTGCTATGGAAGGAAAGGGGGAAAGTGCCTTTCCTTGCTCAGAAATTCCCTTAGACCCAGGGTTCCCTGGAAAAACACCCTGAGGGATCTCCTGAGAGCATCTAGGCTAACCCACTGAGAAGTAACAGGGGGGAAGCAAACTATGTAGCACTTAAGGACGAGATTAAGAGACATACCCTAGATAACTACTGTACCAACTGAAGCAAAAAAAGTATTTATAAGAGGTCCATTATGAAAGAGAAGGGGAAAAAGGAAAAGGCTTGTTAGGTTTTTAGAGTGGTGGGAAACGGGCAACACAAAAATAGGGGAAAGACACACACACACACACACACACAGAGACTTTCAGATAAAAAGCAATACAGTTGATCTAGCTCAGCTGAGTACACATTACCTAGGCTGTAGCAGGTTCCTCAAAGCATGTACAGAGTTCCTTTGCAGTAACAAGATGCTGGAGGAGTCTGTAGCCTTCTGTGGACCCCAGTTCCCACGAAGGCAAGGGGGGAGAGTCCCAGTGTCCAGACGTTTATGGTCAGCGGAATGGGGCCTAACCCCCTAAGCCAGCCCCCTCCCGAAGAGTGACGAGCAGATTTGTTCTCTTCTGTGCAAATCCGGTCTTTGATGCCAGTAGTTGCTTTTTAACGATCAGAAGATTATTACAGTCTTCACCCTTCAAGCATCTGGTCAATGGCCCTGAAATCCCAGGGACAAATGAGTGGTCAGGTCCACACTGGCTTGGCCTTTGTCCGAAAGGGATGGCCCGATGTGGAATGGAAATGAATAGGTCTAATGGTAAACCCCAGGGGTCCAAGATTCCAGTTGCTGCAGGTGGCGCTCTTAAGCACTAGTAAGATTTTTAGCTTTTGTGTCACTCTTGTATACCGAAGTTCAAACAGGTTACTGTGCAGCTATAGCAATGGGCAAGGATCCTGTGGTTCCAAGGATATTGCTACCTCTATGCATGGTTTTCTGGAGCTGCGGTGGCTCAAGTGGTTAAGACGCTGAACTGCGGGCTGTGGAAGGTCGGTATTTCAGCAGGTCGAGACCCGAGTGTGCCGCATGACAGAGTGAGCTCCCATCTCTAGTTCTAGCTCCTGCCAACCTAGCAGTTCGAAAGCAAGAAATTGCAAGTAGATAAACAGGGACCACTTCGGTGGGAAGGTAACAGCGTTCCGTGCGCCTTGGTGTTTAGTCATGCTGGCCACATGACCCAGGAAACGTCTTCGGACAGCGCTGGCTCTTCGGCTTTGAAACGGAGATGAGCACTGCAACCCTAGAGTCGGATTCGACTGGCTTTCGGGCAAGGGAACCTTTACCTTTACCTTTGTGCATGGTTTTGAAACTAATAGCCACAAAGGACAAGCAAGTCTATCCATTGCATGAGATGTAGTGTTATATAATAGCACGAAAGAGTTCTTTATTGACTTAATAAAGGGGAGACCCATATGACAAAGGAAGAGGAAGAAGAGATTGGATTTATACCCCGCCCTTCACTACCCAAAGGTGTCTCAGAGCGGCTTACAAACTCCTTTCCCTCCCCCTTCCCACAACAGACACCCTGTGAGGTGGGTGGGGCTGAGAGAACTCTGACACAAACTGCTCTTTTTCAAGGACAGCTGTGCCAGAGCTTGTGACTGACCCAAGGTCATCCAGCCAGGTGCAAGTGGAGGCGTGGGGGATCAAACCCGGTTCTCCCAGATTAGAGTCCGCGCACTTAACCACTACACCAAACAGAACACCTTTGGCATACCCTGGGTAGGATGCTCTTAGTGCAGACAGTCTCATTTCTGGAGGGTGCGGCATCAAAAGGTGGGTTAGTCTCTCAAGGGTGGGGGGAACCACTTATCACTTCAGTCAAAGGCCACACAATCACAACACACCTACACACAGGATGATACAACCTAGATAGTAAAACAAAAAGGCCGAGGAGCAGATTCTCCTTGAGGAGTATAAAGCGTGAATAGATTCGCAAGATATTAATAAGGATGAGCGCATCACACAACTCACATCCGTACCGGAGAGGGGGGAATGAAGGAGTGAAACCTGATCCCTCCTGGTTGAGGCTGTACACTCCAAGCTGCACTTCTGGGGCAGACTTGGTGTTGACACTTTGCAGGGTGCGACGGGACAATTGTCCACTGGAATCTGTAACAGCAGAGCAGCCATGTATCTTTGAGTCACTCGGGTCTGTTTCTCGATGCACCTTAACTGTTGGCTTCCACACAGGCGTCGCTGCCACCAGGCTGCAGAACAAGCGGTTCTACCCCATGGTGTGTTCTACGGCAGCCAAGAGCAGCATGAAGGTCATCCGCTCCTGTGCCAGCCACACCTCCCTGCAGTACCTCTGCTGCTACCGCCTCCGCCAGCTGCTGCCCGACTGCATGGACACGCTGGAGGTCCTGCCCCTCCCTCCCGGACTGAAGCAAGTTCTGCACAACAAACTGGGCTGGGTGCTGAACATGAACTGTGGCTCCGTCCCCCCCTCTCCCGCCCCCTCTTCGGGCAGCGACTCGGACAGCTCGTGTAGCTCGGAGGCCGAGGCCTGCCGACGCAAGCGATGCCGGAGGACATAACCGGAGGAAAGATATGCCGCCCCGGTCGACCGAGGAACCTCCCACCGGGGTGGCCCGAGCCGGCATCTCTCTGGAAAGGGCAGTGCTCTCAGACAGACCCATTGCTTTGCCCTCCACGAAGTCCCAGCTGACAATTCCCCTGCTCGGGAAGACAAGGCAGCTCCTGCGGCCCTGTCTCTTGGTTTGCCATCTGCAGCCAATGCCTCTGCTTGGGGCTGGAGGGCAGCATTGAACATTGAACTCGGTGTGTGTGTGTGCGTGAGAGAGAGAGAGAGGGAGGCCTCCCATTTGTGTACATATCTCCAGTGCTTTGCCACTGACCAGTCAGAGTATTGTTATTCACTAAACTGTACCTAGAAAGTGATCTTCTGCAAGCTCTGCAACTTTGTAAATTTTGCTTTGCATGCCTGTAACTGCAGCTTTGCGCCTGTTGATCCGTATGAAAGAGGGGAAAAAACTTAGAATCTGATTAAACCCACGGTACATGGGCCACACCTGCGGCTTCATTCTGCTTTGCTTTCCAGCACAAGTCTGTGTGCCTGAATGTCTCCAGCTTGCTTAGGTTGTGTATCCACAAACGTATAGATTGGCAAGTCAGTGAATCGGGCTTGTGCTGGGCCCTTAAGTTCAACCTTAGCTGGAGGAGATGCTCTGGAAATCTTCTCATAAGTAATAAACTAACACATAAGCTTAGAAAGACAGGATCTCACAAAGTATATTGTTTATTAACAGGGTTTTTTTTTTCCATTACTAACTGCAGTTTAACAGGGTAATGATCTCCTACTCTTGGGTTTTTAGTTTAGTGTGGGGTACTTTTCTTTCTCATTAGTTGTAGTTCCCCTTCCCTTCTTTTCTTTGTAGTTTATATAGTATTATAAAAAATTTAAAAAATCCCCTCCGGGGGTCTTAAAAGAAAAAGTTCAACCTTATAGGGCTGGGATCCCCTGCATCGTAGGGGGGAAAGTGACCCTGGAGAGGAAGCTACTTCCCTAACACCTCCTCAGATGGGATGTTTTGCTTCCCAGCTATGACCTCACACGGAGCATGGTGGCAGTGTTGCTCACTTCCTGTCAAGATAACGCAGGAAGCTCATAGACTGAGGCAGAAGCACAGCCTGGGACTCGTGAGTTGCTCTAAGGACCAAAGAAGCTGGCAGTTATCTCTTGCCACACGCCCGTGTAGTTTTCCAGCCCAGTGCCATCGCGACCACTCACGGCCTTTGCCCAGCTTTTCACCTTACTCTGGGAATGTAATGGAACTCCACAGCCATCTCCTCCCTCCTGTTCAACGAGATATTCCTTTCACGACTGGGATAATCACTGTTCCCCCCCCTCCTTGCCTCTTGACTTTAGGGATGTTATGCAAAAAGGTGAACTGAAGCCTTCCCTTCACTATCATACTTCAAGAGCCTTTAGGCAGCAGGAGAGTATCAGCGGGTTGGGGGTTGGGTTGTGCACCTCCAAGGTTTGTGGCCCCTTCACTCAACTCAGCCTAGTAGACCGTACTGCAGACCTTGCTGGCTCTGAGCGATTTACAGTTACTCATTTTTCACGAGGGACTAACAATGCTTTGTGGGGAAAGGGAGGACAACATATATACATCTTAAATTGCACACATTCACAGCCGACGAGGGTTTCGTTCAGATGCAGATGAGACGTGATCCGGAATGGCATTTTCCCTCGGCTGAGTTTCTTTTTTTCCCCTCTCCCTTGGCCGAGTTTGATGGCGTTAGCTTTTCTCCAGACTCCTTGAGTTGTAGTGCCACACTGCCATCGCCTGGCCGGATGGCCCATTACAGGCTTTTCGTCACGCTGAGGAAATCTCTCTAGGCTTTCCATCATGCGAGCTGGACTTCTGTTCGCCTGCTAACACCGCTCCACCCCACGAGGGGTTCAGCGTGCCCACCCTCTCTAAGGAGTGGTACCCATTTTATCTACTCGCCGAAGCTTTCGAACCGCTGGGTAGACGGCGAGCTGGGGACAAGGCTGGCAGCTCACACCAGCACGGGGCTAGAACTGACAGCAAGCCTGTTTAGCTCAAATGTTACTATTATAACCAGAGGATAAATCCTCTGTGCCAACCCTCCGCCCATTTAGATACAAGTTCCACAGTGAGTCCTTGCTCTTATGCATGCCAACCGCTAGAAAGCAAATACCAGACAGCCTTTGGCACTCCGAGGATTAAGCAGCAATCCTCCCCCTGTCCTCCCCCTCCCTGCAGGGAGAGAGAAAGGGGAGGGTACAGCCCCCCCCAAAGGTGCCCGTACCTTCAAGCCAGTTGCAATAAGTAGTTGCAGGGCAACTGATTCTACTGCAGAAGGTCAAGGAGGGAAAGCGAAGAAGTCAGGCAACTGAGTGCCGCGTCATCAGTAAAGTACTTTATCTGTGCTGTCCTTGGCAACTAAAGCAGCAGCGTTGTGGATGGGATTGACCTGGACGGGGGGGGGGGGGGGGGTTGGGGGGGCAAGGGAACATCTCAATCATGCTCTGGATTCTCTAAGCACTCTAGTCCAGAACAAGTGGTGGATGGGTTGATGCCATGAAGAGGTAGATCCTACGAGACAAGTTGGGGCTGACCCGGCGCACTCGCTCACTTTCCTCGATCTCGACCCGAATGTCACGTGAGGAGTTGTCTGTCTCCATCTGTGCTGCACTCCTCATAGGCCTTCAGAGAAAGGGAGTGCCACGTAAGTGGGAGAGCCCAAAAAACATTGGCCGTACTAAGGCTGCCCCTTGGGCTTGAGACACACACAGGACTGAGAACAACCCTCAGACCTCCGTGCCCTTTGGACACTCAGCTTTCCATGTACTGCTTGGGTGACTCAAGAAAGGGTGAGGGTAGCACCTGGTAGAGCCAAGCCTGCCCTGAAAGCAGAAACTGTGCCAATATATTATTATTAAATATATGCACAGAAATAAAAGATTATTTGAAAACTGGCCTCTGAAGGAATCTCACAGACAGACGGTGGCGCAGGCAGTAAATGCCTGCTGTAACATCAGTGAACAGCCCTTAAGGCTTTTCGAGACCAACCGCGGCCGGGGTGAGCTCCCGGCCCGTGTCCCAGCTCCCGTCCACCCAGCGGTTCGAAAGTGCAAGCAAGTAGATAATTGGGTACCTGCCCCTAGGTGGCAGGGGGCACCCTCCTCCTGACGGGGGGCGTGCAGCAGGAGCATCGGCAGTGGCAGAGCAATTGGCGGCGGCGGAGTTCTGGGCGGAGACTCGAGTGTGGTGCCGCGGCGGAGCCAACAGGACGTAAGCCGGAGCTGCAGTCGGCGCATGGCCGCACACTGGGACGAGTCCGCAGGGGGGAGTCACTGTGACAAAAGACCTGTACTAAGACCCATCCACTGAAAACAACAACATCTGAAGCCCGCTTGAAAAAAAGAGCAGAATAACAACAGAGCCCTGCTGCCTGGGTGCCGGTAGGCAGTCACTTCCCCTATGTAAAAATGTGGCCCTAGATAGGCAATTAAATTGTATATAAACCGCTCAGAGACCCTTCGGGGTTAGAGCGGTATAGAAACTGAAAGTTAAATAAATAAAAAATAAAATAAATTTAATATTTGGAAAACAGCTCCACCAAGCCATTTTCTAATATGCTAAAGGGGAATATTCTGGGAAGGAGCTAGTCCGTCTGGGCTGATACCGTTGAGCAGGGGGGCCATGGAGGGGTAGAGAATGCCAGTGATAACGGGGTGGGGGAAATCTAGCGGTGGGACTAGGAGGTATTCCGTGAAATGGAATGGAGGAGGAGATTGGATTTATATCCCGCCCTTCACTCGGAGTCACGGTTCTCCGAAGCCATTGACGAGATCCCCCCACCCCCTCTGCCCTCGTGCCAAAGCAGCCCCATGGATGCCTCAGAGCTGTGGACAGTGAAACGAGAGCTGAGACGGCTAGAGCGAGTGTGGAGGAGTACTCATGACAGCAACAAGAACATGTTATAGAACGTTTATAAGGGTCTATGAGATGGTGGTGAAGGCCACCAAGAGACAATTATGCAGCCTCCATTGCATCTGTGATGTTGCGCCTAGCTCATTTGTTTAGAACTATTCAATCACTTATTTAATTGCCACAAGGCAAACAAAGTGCTAGGGAACTGGATACTGGCTGTGAGGCATTTGCGACTTATTTCATGGATAAAGTGGAACCCCCTTGTCTGTCTTCAGGTCCAATGTCGAACCACTTCAGCTGTCTCAGGAGGACGTCAACAGGGTCCTCCTGGCAGCTGTGAAGCCAAACACTCACCTTCTTGACCTGGCTGGTCAAAGCCTCCAGGGAGGGCATTTGGGTCTTCCTGGGAGAAATTATCAACTCATCCTTTTCTTCTGGGACCTTCCCAGTGGGGTTAAAGAAGGCAGTGGTCTGTCCACTGTTAAAGAAACCAACAGTCCTGGCCAACTACTGCCCAGTCTCAAATCTCTTGTTTATGAGTAAGGTAGCTGAGGGTAGCGGCTGAACATCTCCAGGCTTTCTTGGAGGACACATCCATCCTTGACCTATTCCGGTCCAGCTTCTGCCCTAGGCATGGGAAGGAAACAGTACTAGTTGCCCTCACAGATGACCCCCAGAAACATATGGACCAGAACCGCTGATTTTTGAAGGGGTGTTGAAAGACCTGAGTCAGATTGAGGTGATGAGAGAGGAGGTCCTAAAACTGACAGACAACTTAAAAACTGATAAATCACCAGGCCCAGATGGCATACATCCGAGAGTTCTGAAAGAACTCAAATGTGAACTTCTGGATCTCCTTACAAAAATATGTAATCTTTCATTAAAATCTGCCTCCATTCCTGAGGACTGGAAGATAGCTAATGTCACCCCCATCTTTAAAAAGGGTTCCAAAGGAGATCCGGGAAATTACAGGCCAGTCAGTCTGAGGTCGATACCAGGTAAATTGGTAGAAACCATTATTAAGGAAAGAATTAGTAGGCACATAGATGAACAAAACCTATTGAGGCAGACTCAGCATGGGTTCTGTAAGGGAAGATCTTGTCTCACTAACCTGTTACTGTTCTTTGAGGGGGTGAATAAACATGTGGACAAGGGGGACGCAATAGATATTGCTTACCTTGACTTCCAGAAAGCTTTTGATAAAGTTCCTCATCAAAGGCTCCTAAGTAAGCTCAAAAATCATGGGATAAAAGGACAAGTCCTTTTGTGGATCAAAAACTGGCTAATTAATAGAAAACAGAGTGAGTATAAATGGTGTTGAGAAATGGACTATTATTTGTGTTTTGTGGACTGAGACGTGCTGACATTCTATAGGAATAGTGCGCACACATATCCTAGGCACAGGGAAAACTATTTGCAGTCACTTGTTGTGAGAAGGTTTACACATAGATGGTGCTTTGCCTGTGTACTTGCATTTCATGTTAATGAAGCTAAAGCCTGGCCTGAGGGAAAGGAGCACATTCACCATTGTTAGCAGAAAATGCAGTCCAAAAAGACAAGCTATTCCCCCATTGCTGAGAGGCTCGCTGTCACGCAATCCATGTCTGGATCTACATCTGAATTGCCATTTCCT